ACTAATAAAATACAAATATCGAAATAATAAAATAATACTAAGATAAAATAATAAACTAATAAAATAAAACTGTTCTACAACAGGATGTTAAAGAATATTGGTTATAAACTATAAGTTATTTTGTAGTTGTCAAAGTCTTATATATATACTGATTTCTATAAGGTTTAAGTAATTAATTTAAAATAAAAAGTTGAAAATATAATATTGTAGTTAAATATTCATATATTTTTAATACTATAAATTTTTTTTCACTTAGACAAATCATGTCAATGACACTATTTATTTAAGTCATCATCTTGAGAAAGATTTAAAAAAATAAAACTATGGTCCTAATATTCTACAGCTACTTTACTAATAATCAAAGGCTAGCAGACACCTATAAACAATATTACTACATAGCAAGATACAATTAATTAAGATATATTCTAACTAAAACTTGTCTAACCACCACCCTACAATAGAATACTACCAATTTAATAGCATCTTTTTATAGAAAAATAAAAGAAAAGAAAAAATTTTTAAAACAACACAAAGGTATAGAGGATAGCATTAAAAAAAATACAAACAAAAAAAGAAGAGAAAAAGGAAAAAACAAAAAAAAACTAAACTAAATATAAGACTTTTCACATGCTTCAGACAGTTACAATTATAAGCCTATGTTGGGCTCTATAAAAATTATATACTATTTAAACTAGTCTCTACTCTAATTTATATACATAGTATATCTAAAGTAGAAAAAAACTCTGCAACAAGATAAAAAAAAATAGATTTTTTGATGTTAGTACCATAAAGAGGTCAGAAAAATCAGAAATTCACATTAGAAGTTTTAAGTTATTGTTTATTTAGGTTGGCACATTCAAGGCGATTTACTTATTTGTGCCAGTGATACAAACCTAAAAATAGAATAGATCATTATAATTTATATGACAAGAAGCTGATTGGCTGATAATCAAATGCCAGAGCTTTGTACGTGTCGCAAAGATCGATAGAAATTTGATATTACTAAAAGAACTTTTACGCGATTTTATTACTGAAGACATTTATTTTTATTATTTTATTTTTTAAATAGACTTGACAAATATACCTGACAAATATACCGTAGTTTTATAAGTTATATAATTTACAAATATAAAAGGTATAGCAAAATTTTATATTATCTTCGTTGTCTTTCAATACACAGATTTGATGAAAATTTCATACTTAGATCTTCATTTACCCAGTTACCTGCCTGAAAAGTCTTTTCCGGCCTACGAACAACTTCAAGAGCATGAGACAGCTGATTGTAAACAACTTGCAAAGAGTTAATATCAAGATTATGGAGGTTTTGTGTCATTTTTTGTATGCTTTCAATAAGTTCTTCGGTTGTAGGTGGCTGTTGATAATTTGATTGTTGTATTTTTTGTTGGTGTTGATTTGGTGATTCAATATTTGTTGCAAGGGAAGAAAAATGGCACATAATTACGGCATAAATATGCTTGCATGGAAGTTGCCGCGTGCAAAAGTCTATACAAGTGCCAGAAAAATTTCGTTCCAATTATTCATGTTCTAAATTTTTTTTCACATAATATCTAATACCTGGTTTTGTTTCCGAAGCTACAGTCCAATAGTGCCCACCAACTGTGTTTTCTAGTACCATACTTGATAATTTCTGGGCTTTGATTTGTCTCCTGTGGATAGAGTTGTATTCTGAAATTATAATCTTACAATACATGTAATTTACGTAAGTTCAGCAAACTAAATTTCATGTAATTTTCATCACATTATGTGTTAAGTATCAACTTTACAAAATTTTGATCTTAACACTATATATCATGCATTTTACAAACTACATGAAAACTAATTTACTGAAATTTATATAAAATTACATAAATTGCGCAAAATTATAGTAATTTTACAACTCTACCTGCGAATTTCTCTTTCTGCAGGCATCATGCGTCCTGCTTTAATATCAGCAAGTCGCCTTTGTTGCTGTGTATCACCTTCTATTACAATGTATAGCTCATAAATTAAGACATCAACACGCTGATTTATTTTTCCTTCGAAATTATCATATTTAAGACGTTTATGCCAAGATTCTAGCATATTGGTTGTATCCATATTGAAGCGTGGAACTCTGATACAATAAGCATTTATCCACATAACTTTATCGATGCCATGAAGATTACCATATTCATCTGGTTCATTTAACCATTGTCGCTTAAAGTATGTAATAAACGTTACAAAGTCTTTCCATTTTTCTAAAAAAAACTGATAACATTTCTTCAACAATGCTTATTTTATCAATTCTCATTAAATATTTTAGATCCTCAAACAGTTTATTCTCTAACGATCTTTTCTCATCAGCTGCAAGTTTAC